CAGATTGTTGGGGGCAATATGCTGACTCTCTGTAAACCGCTTAGAGAGGCCTGAAAGGCCTATGAAGCGGTATATAAGTCTACTGCTATTGCTGTTGTGCATAGTAAAAAACTATGTTTCTGAACCTCGCTGACTTTAAAATGTGTGGACTTCAACTCCCAGAATTCTCCAGCCAGCATGGGGAATTCTGGGAGTTGAAGCCCACACATTTTAATGTCATGGAGAAATACTGATAAAGAAAGCTTAGGACTGGTTTATCTTATATACATTAAATTCTACTCTGTGCCATTAGCTGTAGGCAGCCTGTTGTGTAAGAACATTGTTGGCTCTTAGCAGTCCCATAGGCTGATTTTCTCCTTTTCAGATTTGTTTCATTAAACAAAACTTTTTTATTAAATAAAAATTATATAATAAAAATAACCATACACAAAGCTTATTTTTATTTGATTTGTATAGCTGCCCACTTCAAACCAGTAACAAATACCCATTTATATTTTGATTTTGCACAGGTATTAACAAGTGCCACATTGATAAGTAGTAAGAATCTCTATCATCTGAATTAACCATTTAGATTTTTAACTACCATATATAATATCAAAATGAAATATCAAAATAAAGGAAACGTGTAGAACTTACCACAATCTTTTTTACATTGATCCTATATTAATATAGGATTTTTAAAAATCTACAAAACAATCTCCTCCATCAATGTATAATAGGGTGTCAGACAAAAGCACTATGAAAAAAAATGTGCCTTTTCAACTTTCCCCCATATAAAGATGAAAGAGTATGTGTAAGCAATGTAAATGCAATTGTGTTAATATATTTAGGTTTCTTGATCTAGTTATCTATTGCATTGCAGTCACTGAGAGTTTCAGGTTAATTTAGGTTCTTATATAACTTGAAGGGCAGGTTCTGCAAGTACTAATCTACTACTAACTGAGTTTACCCAGAATGTTTTTTACATGTATAAACTATAAAAAGCACTTAAGAAACTTTGATTCATAATCAGTTAGAAGAAGGATATAATTGAATAAGTCCAAGATTTATGGGTTATACCAATTTCATCATTAGTGTATATGTTTACTTAGAAGTAAGTTCACTGAATTAATTAACTTAATTACTTAGAAGTAAGTTCACTGAATTAATTTTCAAGGTGTAGGTTTTCTGGCCCTATTCCCTCATGGGATGACTAGTCCAGTATCTTCAGCCTGTGATGATGGGGTGCACAAGTGACCTCCCACACATTTGGAAGTAGCCCCAGGGTTTCTCCAAAGGTTGACTCCAACTTCTTCCAGTGTAACATGAAATTTAATAGGTAGAAGGTAGAAAATGTGAAATACATGTTAAATCATCAGATAAATTGTGTACAGTATGCAGCTCATTAACTTTGAAGTATGGCTTCTAGTATTTCACTTGAAGGCCTAAAACCATTCTCAGTTTAAAAAGCTCACACACTCCAAGTTTAGTTTAAGTTTAACTTTAAGACAATTAACAGGCGAGTCACATTTCTGAGTTGCTCCCGCTTCCATGCCTGTCATGTAGAAATGGAATTGAGAAGCTTCTGTTCAGACTATGCTATTGATTTCTGCATCAACTTGCTGTTGATGTCTAGATGCCTGCCAGGAAAAGTAAACTGGCTAACCTTGTCACTGGAAGAAATGCCACAATTGGTTGAAGATTTGCTGTGAGTTATTACTGCAGATGTCAATATCATATTCATTTTCTGTTTTGCAGTTTTGCTAAAGAATGTAAAAAAGGAAGAAGAGAAGCCATTCAGAGACTGCGCAGATGCATACCAAGCTGGTTTTAATAAAAGCGGTGTCTACACAATTTATGTTACTAACATATCAGAACCTAAAAAGGTAAAGAAAAGTATGTGTTTCTTTCTAAACATTTAATCCATTCAAATACATGTTGTGCAAAAAGTCAGGCAACTAGAATTGGCCTTTGGTAAATGCCACTCTGCTTTTCATTCCTGCTGCTGCTGCAGGAAATACGCAGGAATGACTTTCTCAGTAGTTCCTTTTTTGCACCATGTCTTGGGAGACCTGGAAAAATTGCAGGGGAAGAACAGGTGGGTGGAACTGAATGGGTCTTGTATCTCTTATGGAAAAAGACTTGAAGATGATTCAAAAGTCACATGTATGGTTGCTGCAGTATAGAAAACTTCAGACCACCATCAGCCCTTTTATGGGCACCCAAAAGTGAAAGACTTTTTTGTCAGAGTTTTGGCAGTGTGACTAGTATTATGAGATAAACCTAGGAGCAAAACACAGCACACAACACACAGAGCCTTTATACAATTAATAGTGGTTTGTATATATATAGAAATATATACAGACATTAACACAGCAGATAAAACCCCTTACCATTCAGCTACGGACACAAGGAGAGAAAATGAGACACATGATGAGAGAGAAACACCCTCTAATGGCCACATACCTTATTTTTCGGAGTATAAGACGCATCGGAGTATAAGACGCCCCAAGGTTATGAAGAGGCAAATTTTTTAAAAAAGTTTTTGCACTCTTTAGACCTCCCAAAACAGCCCATTTTTTCATGAAAATGGGCCTGGTTTTTTTTTTCCAAAAAAAGGGCATGAATAGCTTTTAGGAGGCTTGTAGAGTGCTCCTCCTTGTAGAGTGGGTTTGGGGCAAAAATGAGCAAAAAACGGTCCATTTTTCATTTAAAAAGGGCATGCAAAGCTTTTAGGAGACTTATAGGCCCATTTTCAGTCCGTTTTAGGAGGCCTGGGCCCACTTTCAGTCCATTTCTGCCCTCCCCAGCCCCCAGGAGCACTCTGAAAGCCTCCTAAAGGCTATGCATGGTCATTTTGGTGAAGGGGGTGGGGTTTTGGGAGGCAAAAAATGCTGTATAAGATGCACCCAGATTTTCAGCCGCTTTTTTGAGGGGAAAAGATGTGTCTTATACTCCGGAAAATACGGTATATATAGACACCTCTTAAAGAAGTAAATGACTTGTGTGAACCTGATCAGAGTCTTAAAGAGGCTATGCCTGTATTGCTGAATCACCCTCATTGCATCACCTTACAAATGACAGCTTACAACCTTACATCAGCTGGCAGCTATTAAATCCTCAGTACCTGACAGGTTTTTTTTTAAGATTTGCATTTAGGAGTTTAAAAATCAAGACTTAAGAGTTAAGCTACAAAGTTCCAAAGATCCTAAAGGTACCCATTTCCCCCCCTTAAACTCCCAAAATGTCAGATGACTTACAGAAGTACAGAGAGTCTGGGTTGAGAAAATTTAGCTTTTCACTCTGTCTCAAGTCTTGAGGATAAATTTGGCCTTGTATTCCACCTATTCATCCTTTTGGCGGCAAAGAATCCTCAAGTACATTTATGATAGGCCTTTTTAAAGCCCTTGTTTACATTAATCAAATGCTATAGTGGAGAGAAAAAACCATGTTTGCTATAAGGCTGTGCACATTAGAGTTCAGTTATGTACTTTGTTTCCTATACAGAAAAGTTTTCTATGTAAGAAAAAGCAAACAAACCATAAAGTGAGCTAAAAGAAACTCTCTGGAGAGTAGGATAAAGAATGATTTCTTCCAGACTTATTATTCTTTACTACTCCAGCAATCCAACCAATATTCATTGGATTGCAGTCTTACCATGATGTTTAAGTGAAGCGTGTAGAGCAACCACTCATATAAAAACACTAAAATATTCGGTATAATTTTATCTTCAATAAACACAAGAAGTTCTCTGTTTTAAAGGACTAGTGCAAACTTCTCTATCAATTCAGGGAGCCACAATACATCTATCACATCTATCAGAGTTTGTTGCAGAAAAATCAAATCCATATAGCACACACAAATAACTGATTCAACTGGATTCATTAACTCCTTTATATACATAATAACAGATGAATAAATATACAATATCAATAGTAGATTCTTTCAACATGGTAGAAGTTACAAGCAGGACACAAGCAACAGGACAGCAGAGAGGAGTTTTCAGTTCAGAGCAGACAGAGTAGTTTCAGTTTTGATCCTCAGCGCAGACTCAGATCTGTTTAACCTCCCATTGGCTGACTTAGTTGTTATGCCTATTCATCGGCTGACCTTGTTACCATGTCTCTCCCATTCATGAATATTCTAACAACATTAGAGCCCCTTGGGTAGTACTGGTTCAAGTTGTTCTCTGCAGGGCTTCCACTTCTTCACAAATGAAATACTTCAAGTCTTAGGTGAAGAGGAACACCACATCTCATTACTATTCAATAAAACTGTTCCTTTTTCAGTTTCTGGGCAGGGGTGTCAAACTCACGATGTCATGACTTTTTTCCTGCTTTGCTAAACTGGGGGTGGGGTTGTCAGAGCATGATGGATCTGGCCCATGGGTTGCAAGTTTGACACCCCTCTTTTGGGACAATTTTTTTTGAAGGAACTCCTGAAACAGGGTTGGGTTTCAACCGGTTCGTGGCGGTCCCTGTGAACTGGTTGGTCAGCGAACCCGGAAGTAAGTAACTTCCGGGAAGGCGAAGGGCCCGCCCACCTGCCCGTACTTCTTACTGGTCTTTAAAGGCTTCTGCGCTTCCACGCAGGCACATGGCAATATAGCACCTGCGTGATTCTCCGTGAGCAGCTGGAGCATCACGCAGGTGCTAAGATGCATGCGTGAACTGCGCGCATGCACGCGGATGCCGCCGGCCCCGTTCCAGCCGAACTGGTTGGAACGGGATAAGCAACCCACCACTGTCCTGAAACCTCACTTTTAAGGAATCAACTTCTTAATGCAGCTGCAATCTCCCCCCCAAAAGTTGGCAAAGAAGTTTGAAAACAAGAGGAGCTGCTTTAATGAAAGCCTGCTTCTTTTGAACACGCAGACATCTGTGATGCATAAATGAAAGGAGCGAGTTTCCATCCACTCTCTTACCAATTTTGAACTCCCCTGTATATGTTCCTGGTCCTGTGACCTTCCTCCCACAGTGCCCGAAGTCCTGCCTCCACATTTATAAGCATGTCCAGTTGAAAGAGTCAACCCGTTGTCAAAAACAGAAAAGCAGAACAATGTGAAATTCTGCCTCTTTCCTTATGTGTCTCGATGTGTGTGTTCAGATTTCAACCTCAAAACATGCTAAAAGGTGTTTAATGGCTGACTGCCCTGACCTTGTCTGGGACGGGAGCCAGTTAAGGACATTTGTTGGCTTGAATGATGGAAAGCTAATGTTTATAATCGCCCTGCCACTCCTGTTACTGTGGCAGGTGTTGCTATCCAATTCATTGCTATGGGGATGAGCAGACCACACAATGAATAATTTAGTGGTGTAAATCTCACTGTCATTGTGCGTTTTTTTCTTTCTTTGTAATACCTTTAGTACTCAAAATTCAAAAACTTTAAACTTATGTAGGAAATGATTTTTTTTTTAAAAAAGTTAGTTCTGTACACCTTCTATTCCACGTTCCCATCCCAGTTTGTCATACAAAAGACAAATACACAAAATGCAATGCATATTTCCCTTCTTACATCATCGAAACATATACTTTTTACATAAAGTATAAAGATTGGATA